AATCAACTTGGTACACGATGAGGTAACTAATTCACTTTATAACTTGCTTAATGCTCATTACCTTCAGGTTCTTGATGGAGTTTCCGTCTTCCGTGTTGAAACTGACTCTGCCTGGACTGAGATGATGGACATCCAAATCACCGTTACTCCCCCATCCAAGCCAAAGCAAAACCCATTCAACTCTATCTTCCGTCAAAAAAGACAAGACTACCGTGGACTTCCAGCCTGGTGCCAATGCGAGCCAACTAAGCCAACTTGCCCACCAGGACCCCCAGGACCACCAGGAAGACCAGGACAGCCAGGATCGCCAGGACCTCGTGGTGCTCCAGGACAAGATAACTATCAAACTTATGCTACCCCAACTTGCCCACCAGTCTCCCGCGACTGTGTCAAGTGCCCAGCTGGTGCTCCCGGACAAAAGGGACCAGACGGACCACAAGGAAGACCAGGACCAGACGGTCGCCCAGGACAACCCGGACACAAGGGACAAAGCGGAGCTCCAGGACCAAGAGTGAGTTTCTCAAAAAGCGTTATTTTTCTAACAATTTATTTTGTAGGGACCAGCTGGAGATGCTGGAACTCCAGGACATCCCGGACGTGACGGACAACCAGGACATCCAGGACGTGATGGACGTAAGGGTAGAGGAACCCCAGGAAGACCAGGACCACTCGGACGCCCAGGATCCCCAGGAAAGGCAGGAACTCCAGGACAACGTGGACTTCCAGGAAAGCAAGGACCACAAGGACCAGCTGGTCAACCAGGACATCCAGGACAATCTGGACAAGACGGACAATCAGGAATCAGAGGAGGACCAGGACTTCCAGGAAACGATGCTGCTTACTGTCCATGCCCAGCTCGCAGTGGTGCTTATTTCATGCACAGAGCTTAAATTTTTATGCAACAATAAATCTCTCTACAGATCATCCGTATCATTTCCATTTCATATTTCTATCACAGACAACACACACATGCACACACACACACACGATGTAGCCACATAACCTATAGTAAATCCCTAAAAATGGATTAATCCAAACTATGAAACGGTCTTATAATATATTTATTTCCAATTATTATAGTTAGATACAAAGTTTGAAGTTTTCTTTAGTTGAGATCAAGTCGTTTCGCACGAATTTTGTCACATCTGTAAGTGAAAGTGAGATGAGCAATACGAAAAACACTTACTTGTCATAATCACAACAAGATTTATCACAGGTAAAAACAGAGTCGAAACTTTCGTCCGTCTAAACAATAAAGAAACTGAACAAGAAAGAAAAAAGTTTTGACTCACTTCTCTCTTATTCCTAGCTAGAGAGTATGATGAACGATAAGAGGTCGCGCCTCTATTGGCTTGACATGGGCAAGGTGCTCTGCGAACACCCTGTAATCACATAATTTTAAAAAAACGATTTATGAACGAACAAACCTCTTCGTCTGCTTCACGTTTCTTCCGACCTCCACATGGTGAACACTTCAATTTAAAGTTTTTCTAGAAGTGTGCAAAGAAGACTTACAATGGTTCTCTTCGCTCTATGCAGAATATTTCCTAAATTTGAACAAGAATGACAGTTGCCCTGAAAATGGACATTCCTACTCATTAAATTTTCAAAGTTCAAACTCACCAAACTTCGCTTCTTTCTTTTTCCGAGGCACGGGAGACAACCCTGAAGAGTTTTATTGAGAAATTTTAGATAAATAGGGAAAACCAATCGCTTCACTCGTCGATGATGTTCTGCATCAATGTCTCTCTTCTTTCTTCCTAAACAAGGTAGACATCCCTTAAAAGAAATTTTGAAGTAACATTCTTAGTTTTCAAATTACAAGTCTTTTAACACGTCGATGACTTCCACTGCATGTACCACATCCTGTATTCAACTAGAAATTCATGAAATTAAGAGTTTGCAGATTTTCCTGATTACCTGTCCGAATAAAGTTGTTATAGGATTAGGTGACGAAGTGCATGTTTTACAGCCAGGACTTTGACGTTTGACTCTACCAGGCAAAATTTGTCCGTTGGCAGTGCATTGGGACTGGCAACCTGCTCCTTGGAATAAAAAACTAGACACCGTTAATCAGAGTTGAAAATACCAGGACTTCTTTTCATACGTAAATGAGCGTGAAGTCGTCGACGGCATGGACATGAAGGACAGGAACGGAAACATAGCGGAATAACAGGCTGCAATAAGGCTATCTAGTTTTAAAAGATGTTTACATATTTTTCCGTTTTTTACACATGAGTTGTTTTTTGAAAGTCGTTTGCATAATGAACGCTAAGAAACGCGTCATGATGATGCTGGTTACCTTCCGAGCCTTGTTTTTGAAAACCGACCAGGTTGATCAGTTGCATTTTTGATTCATTAGTATACAATCGTTTCAGTATTTGTTGTAAACGAAGGATAAGTTTGTGCAATACTCATATCTAACCGTATCACTACTTACTTGACTGCAACAAGTTTGTTGCACGGGGCAACAGGGAGGAGGAGGAGGTTGACAGCACACTGCTGGTTGTGGACAGCATGGTATTGGAGGAGGAGGTGGGCAACATGGAATAGTAGCTGAAATCGACGTTTTAATCTTTAGTGATCTGGTATAAAATCCTTACGTAAACAACAGGGTGTGACAGGCTGACAACACATTTGTGGAGGAGGTGGGGCTGCGCATGGACACCCACCTGATGGGCTGCTGAAACGATGCACTAGATAATGTTTTCAAAAATAGAACTCACTCATAAAGTGGTTGATATGTTCCAACAGGCTGATAGTTCAATGGAACGTTTTGTTGTGGATAAGGCTGCTGTCCGGGTAAGGTAGGGTTCTGGTTCGAGTTGACGGGCACATACCTGAGAAAAGGTTTTTAAAATCATTAGTGGAAAAATTAGTCACCCGTTGGACGGTTGAGAATTAGATGGCAATGGGCCCTGAGGAGCTAGTGTTGGAATTTCGGGCTATAAATAACATACTTTTGCTTACAAACTTTCAAAATCATACGCTGTAGGGGCGTTGAACTGTGTTTCCGGGTTGGATAGATTCCTTATAACCTTGGTTGTCTGTTATAATTGCTTTAGGTTCACCAACATCAGGTTCTAAAATATCATAATACAAACTGTGATGCTTCAAAGTACTAAACCAGAAAAGTCATAAGGAACGCTTGATCCGCCATTGTTGGGGTTTGAGCCCTCTCTGTTTCTATCGCCACAGCAAGCGCAACAGTTCCTCTTGTTATTCGAGTTTGTGGGCTTCCCTTCGTAAACCCATGAGCGAGAAGAATCAGGAGGAATTGTTATCTAAGTTTTGGAACTTCGAAAATCTGAATGATAGTATGCCTACCTGATGGCTGTATTGGCCGCTATGTTTTCCCTGAGTTCCTCCGTTACGTTCTAGTTGATTTTTATTGTATGATCCATGGACGGATTCCAAATATTCTTCGTCATCTCCTCTAGATCCCGACTTTTCATAGAAAACGGGTGGTTGCTCTCCGGAATGGATCGTTCCAGCTTTAGAATTCCATTGTTGTGGATTGGTTTTCCCTATCTCGTTAGGGGTCTTAGATACTGGACGATAATCTAATGGATTTCCATTATTAGGCTCTTTGTTGTTCGATCCACTCAAAACAAAGAATGATAAGGCATAACGATTCAGTATTACCTTTGACCATACTCCTCATCGGAACCTGTTTCTTGATTCATTGTAACTTCGTGCATTTTATGTTCTTCCTGGGAAAAAGACAAATTTATGCCAGCTCGAGCACTTAAGCTTACTTGAATCATTTGCTCAACTTTACTTCTTGAGTCAGCGTCTTCTTCATCAGAAGCGAACACTACAGTACGTGGTTTAAAAGTATTTGTTTTGCTCGAGAGGCCTTCAGGAATCCTAGCAGTTGTACGAGGGGAAGATGTAGTAAACTCAACAAGAGTATGTGATGATGATTTAGTTGTTGTCGTTGTTTGAGCTGAATTCGATTTTTTTTGTTCGGGCTCAAGTGATTCATATGTGGAAAGTTGAGATGAAGAAGGTGCATTCTCTTCTGAAGACGTCCCACTCGAAGATAAAAAGTGAGCCGCTGGGGGTGCTGAAGCTGAAGAAGTTGCAGAAGGTGAGCCGTGTGAGGAAGAAGGAGGTGATACAGAGAGAGGAAGTGGTGGTGGTTGCGGAATTGTGGGAGGTGATGGACCTAAAGGAGAAGCTGAAGAGGAGAACGAAAAGCGGATGATAAAAAAGTACCAGATTGGTCATTGTCTTCCTTTTCATAATAGAATTGATATGCTTGAGGAGTGTTGTCGTCCATAACTTGATATGGATTTCTAGGAACATTTTGAACATCAGTGTTCATCTCTTCTGGTGGGTACATGCCCGGAGCCAGAGCAACCTCTGCCTCTATCAGGAATGGTAAGAAGAGGAACAGTACCCATTGCATTGTATCTGAAATAATTATAATTATATCTACAGAAATGAGAACTTGTTGATTTTTTTCGGAAGAAAAAATAAAAATAATTCAAAAGTCTGGAAGTTTGCAACTTAACACAGAATTATGATGAAAAAAGCCAGATAAAAGCGGAGATTCCTCCGCCCATCGTTTCCAAGATTACACTCCTCCAATTATTCCTAATTCTCTCATATCTAATTATCTCTCTCTGTCAGTTAATCACTTTCGCCCTCTCCTTTTTAAGACCAGAATATCTTGGTTTGAAAAGAGAAACGGAAAAGAATGTCGTTTCACGACAAGAAAATCTTAACAGTTTAGTGAAAGAAACAATAGGTAAAATTTGTTAATGAATAAATAAAGTAATTTAGCAAAACAGTTAGAAGAAGAGCATGAAAGTGAATGATGTCGGATCTGATCGGACAATAGAGAACATAAAAAAACACGATTTGACCCGTCTAAGCAACAATATCTTCAAATAAGTCTCAAACTTATCCTATCCTAATGGTCATCATTGGACATGGTATAAAACGTTTGTATCAAGAAGATATTAAGAAATTATAAAACTTTTGACAGACAAAAAAAAGTTTTGAAAAGAAGAAAATTGTCTCTTTGCCCTGTCTGAAAAAAGAAAGAAGGCAACTCTCACTCTTCCTCTCTCTTTCCATCTCTTTTTTTTCACTCCCACTCTTTAGACGAAGCTGTTCGAATTGAAAACTGTGTGCATTTTGGATACAAAATCTGTGCTTCACAAACTCGCTAAGCCAGTTAGCCCTCTATCCTTTTCTGTCTCTCTTCTCTGGAACAATCATTATCATTAGATTGATTAATAACATTGATCATGAGAGGCCCGAAGAGAATCTTCTCAAAATAGGATTTCGACAGATAAAGTCCCCTTCTCTCTTTTCACCATCTTTTTCTTCATCCCTATACCCAATTTTATACTCAGAAACAGACAGAAAAAATCGATCCTATCCATTTGATGATAAGATTTGAAATTGAAAACGAGGCAAGATGATCAAGAAACATTTCAGAAGGACATACATGGATTTATCTAAACATTCATCTCATCAACAACATGTTTATTGTTTCCCACAGCTTCCTGTGATATCTCCGAAAAAAACCGGCAATCCGTTAAGCCAAGACAAATCTCACCTGATTTCAAATAGATTCCCTTAAAGCCTAATGACTGGAACCTGTTCTTGCTTCCGACCATTTTTCTCACTTATGTATTCAAGCCTTCTTCTGGAAGAAGAAGAAACAGTAAAAGTGATGGTATTTTTTGAAAAAAATGTCGAAAAAGTCGGATTTTCCCCGTGATTCGAATCATCCCGCCTTCGGTGATAGTGCATTACCCTGATCATGTCAGGTCAATCACATCAGGTCCGCGTCTAATCTTTTCCATCATTGGTTCCGAATATATAAAAAGTCATCGGTTCTGACGAACTTTCTTCATATGTCTCCCTCTCCCTGTAACTATCTTTGAAAGTCATTTAATTTATGTTTATCAATAAGACTAAACTTATATTGAATAGCGTAATTAACGAGACTTGCAAGATAGAACAAGGAATTTCACTAAAACTCTTGTAAACAATGTATATTTTTATCATCAGGTAGTAAATAAACTTCTGTGCATCATAAAACCTCGAAAAAAACTTTATTATCCTCAAATTATTAACTAAAGGGCAACAATGCTCAAAACGAAACTGAAATACTGTAAGTGAGGCAAGCAAAAGCTGTTCTTTTGCTTCAAACTGGGCAGACTAGACTATTATTCAACAGAACTCAAACATACAAATGACAAAAAAATTTTTGAGGCCCACTCTTCGAAGAATAAAACAAATGAAACGGTCTTGAAGCTGCGAAATACACTGAGAAAACGATTACACAGAATAAAAAAAAATTATTTGATTAATTTTAGAGGCCTCCACAGGCACGATTCACATTAGGAGTTCCATGAATTTCATCCAAATAACCGACCAATCGATTAGCTGTGACATGTCCACTTTTCAATCCCGAATACAACTGAGAAATCATGCTAGAGAGGAGAAAAGAAATCAGTAATACCTGGAAGAATTCAGCGATTTCGATTTCTCCATTTTTGTTCAAATCCACTTCATTCAGAAGCTCATGCAGAACTCTCTCATCAATTTTTTGATTATGTTCCTAAACAGTTTTGATTTGATATCCATACATGCAAAAAGACTCACTCGGAAATAACGACGTAAGTCATTAACGGTGATGTGCCCTTTCTTATCTTTATCCAATTGATTGAATCTTTCTTTAGCAGTTTGCATCTCGGCCCTCGAATAGTATAAAAGTTATAAGAGCACGTTAGAAGGGATATATTCCTCACTTTGTCAAGTTAACAGCCACATTACTAACAGCATTGGTTTTGGCCAATTGTCCCATTTCTAAGTCGATGAAACTACGGGCCTTTTCAAGTTGAGACCTTTGTTCAGCCGAAGACCATCCTAACTCTTCTGCCATTATTCTGACAACCTGGATTCTTTGTCTTTGAACTTTAAATTTTATGTGAAACGAACATCTGGCAATACTTCTTGAGCAGCGTATGTGTTTAAGAACGCTAAGCGCATCCTTCTAGCAATGACGTCAACTGCAGTACAGGCATACTCTCGAATGGCGTAACGAACCTTAAAAGCTACGAATTTGCGCGAATCATAATGAAAATATTCACTTCAGCGTCCAAATAAGGAAATTCGGGATGTAATCTGGAGCCAACAATAGGCCACCTTTTTCCGGTCATTTTACACATACGAGCTACGACAAAAGCACGATCACCATACGTATTAGCAAGATGTTGGGCAACCTGCAACCTTTATTCAGGACTATTGCACTAACTGTTACTCACATCAACTTCCATTCCGTAATCTTGTACAAGATGGATATAGAGAAGAGAATTCCATTCATGACCACCCTCGAGCATGAGACCAGGGGTAACACATCCACTAGCAGGTTTCAAGTCATGAGCCTGCAACTCTCGAAACGTAGTATGCTTCATCGTAACAGGGTACCTTGACACAAGCATCCACAGTTTCTTCTGCCATATGCCTATACGTTGTCCATTTTCCACCAGCGATAGTTACCAAACCACTCTCAGAAACCTGTTATTGAAACATAATGAGAAATATAGGCTATTATACAAACCTCAATGATATGGTTTCTGGCTAAGCTCTTCGTATCTTTCTTATTTGGATCCCGAACAAGTGGTCTCAGACCGGCCCATGCAGACATAACATCACCTCGACGAACGGTAACATCTTTGGATAAATAACCACGAATTTCCTAGCGCAATATTAGTATTAGAAAATTCATATGCACGTACTTGCAGAATAAACTCGATATCTTGATCAGTAGGAGTAGGTGAGTGTGTGAGCTCAGATGGAGCATCAGTTGTTCCAGCAATCGTCATTTTCTCCCAGGGTAAGAAGAAAATAACACGTCCATCAGAAGTACTGGGATCAAGAAGACCAGTATTTGAAGGACTGTAAAAAAAACTTTCAATCAGTATCGGTAGCAACTGGGTACAACCTGTAATAACCAGGTAACACTACGTGTACTCCAGAACTTGGAGCACAGATGGGAGCTGTTTCCGGATCCCCCATTTGACGAATAGTGTCCGTGAAAGGTCCAGTCGCATTAACAACCGCTTTTGCTTTTATATCAAACTCTCCACCACTCATCTAGTGTAACTCATTAGACAAATTGTTAAACTCCTCAAATATTACTGAATCGCGCACATGAGCTCCTTTCACTTTTCCATTTTCATCCTTGATAAGGTGTTCTACCTTAACATGGTTCGCGCACTGTAATCGGAAAAAAAGAGAATATAACATTAATTTCGCAAGTTTACCTTAGCACCGTGACGAATGGCAGTCAGAATGATGGCCAAGTTCATACGTGCGTCATTGTGCTGGCCGTCATAATAAATAAGTGCACCTTTCAATGATTCGTTCTTTAACATAGGGAATCTTAATTAACAAGGATAGGGAGACATTGATATATAGAGAGATACCTTTCCATAGCTTTCTCTTTATTGATATAGAATGAGTTTTTCAAAACACGCTTTCCGGATACGAAATCGTACGCTTTAATTCCAACCCAGTAGTACGGTACTTGCCAAAGCCTGAAAGATGAAGTAAATCTAATATCGCAAAATTCGGTGTTTACTTATAAATAGGGAGCATAATTGGCAATGGAGAACTCAAATGAGGTGCAATTTCCAATAGGTTTGCTCTTTCAAACAATGCTTCCTTTGAACATGATAATTAAAAAAAAGTAATTGAACTGTATATACTTTGACCATCCTATACTGTTCTAGATCTGCTTTCATGATGGCAGCTTGGAGATATCGAACGCCGCCATGCACAAGTTTAGTGCTTCGAGAAGAAGTTCCAGAAGAAAAATCATCGAGCTCCACTAATGCGGCCTTCAGTCCTGTGGAAAATTCATAAGCTTGTCGCGATTTTGAACAAACCTCGAGCTTGAGCATCAAGAACTACACCAGCTCCTGTTGCTCCTCCTCCGATGACAAGAATATCAAATTCTTCGCCGGCCTAACAACAAAAAAGATATTTTTCAAAATCAGGGAAAGTTACTTTTAGGCCTTCAATAATTTCTTTACGAGTAGGAAGAGCTGATGATGGTCTTTTGTTGAGCTCAGCGAGACGATCAGCATGTGCCGTGCGGAAGTAGGTTTTCTGGACAGAAAGAGGTAACCAAAAACGTTAGACGAACAAACCATTTGAGTTTGAAACCTTTTTTCATTAGTTGCATCTAGAGCATAAATAGCTAATGCCCCTGAGCCAACTATGGCTCCTGCCTTCACCCAGCGAGACATTCTATAATAAGGAGAATGAAGTTTTTAAGGCGAAGAGGATCACAATGAATTTTAAGCCAAGAAGAAGCGCTCGTGATAACAATATAAAACGATTGAGCATGATTACTCGATGCACTTTGACCGACCACCTCTATCATCTCAAATAACGACAATGATAATACACACAAATGAAGTCTATCCTCCTCTCTGTCTAACCTGTCTTGCAAAAAGTCAAAAACAACAAATATACAATCGAGTTACAACGCTGTTCAAAAAAATTTCCGTCGCAATGTTTTGTATATCTTTTCTAACGAGAGACTCTCGTCTAAGACTATTATCTCAAGGACAAAAAAAGCAGTATAGAAAAGTGTTAACGTTAGAAACCACTAAACGTATGTATGAAGACGTTAGAAGAGCATGGAGTAAAGACCAGTACAGAGAACAAGTTGAAGCCTCTAACCTAAACCTCCATAAGTATCGATTTCTTAGACGTTCCTATATTTATATCTCATGATAAACTTATCACATAAGACCTTTACGATAAGTAGTGAAATAGAAAATAATTAACAATATTACAAAGTAATTTTCAGTCAGATCAATACGTTGTAAAGAGCATTCTAGTTTTTAGCATTTAAAAATTAAGCTGAGCAAAGGATAGAAGAAAAAACTTTTATCTCGCAACGCAGAGAATTTCGCGTTTATATTTATATAATACCATGATAATTGAATGAACCGAACTAATCGAGATCGTTCCGCATTCAAATGCGACAGAATAAATGCCTCAAGGATTTTGAACATCGTTAACATATAGGAATAAATAGAACCCGAAGCCAAACAAAATCAATACCCCCAATGCTGCCAATTTAAAGGAGAGAATCAAAAGCTAAATGATTTTTCACTGAAAATTTGACTGAATTAGAAGCTAGTGTGAAGAATACTCTCGAAGAACTCGAACATAACATTAGTAGTAGGCGATAGAGAAACACACACACACACACACACATGGAACTGAACAACTGATGAATAGCGGTTGGCATGCTGGAAAAAACGATTCACGTGAATAGCACATGTTCCTACAACAAACATAAGGTAGTCTTTTGAAGCTAGTCTGAGTTCAACGTCTGAGCAACGAACATGATCAAAAATAGTCAATCTTGGCTAAACATATCAGGTTTTTATTGACGACATTCCATGTCGTCAATAATGTTAGGTGAAAGGTTGAGATTCGAGAAAAATAATTAAAGAAACAAAAGAAAACTGAATTAGTCAAGCGAGAAGAAACTAATCAGCCGCACAGCCATATGCAACGGTTCTGTTTATAATGTGAAACGTGTAAGTACGTGAAACATACGTGAGAATGTACCCAAATCATGGAAATTGGGTTTTTGAGAAAAGTTTCCTTATCTTTTTCCTCTCATCTTATACGATCTGTTCAGACTTGACCTTTACTGTATACAAATATTGATCCCGTCGTTTACACAGTCAACGCGCTCCATGAGACGCTTCCTTGACGCCTTGTACAGATAAATATTCATTGATTATTCTGTTTTTACGTTTTGTATATCATTAACATAGCATAAAAATAACTGTTTCGCTGAAGTGTTAATTAGGTTATCATTTTGAACATAAGTTCTAATCGGAACAACTAGTTCACGAATGTTGACTCAGCGTTCTTCTGATGAACTTCTAACGGTGTTCAAACGAGCTTTATATTAGGTCATGTAATGAGGAATATACTATCTGTTGGTCCAAATAAGTTATTTATCCCTTATCTTTTAAGTCTTTATAAATATATTGCTCTTATCAACAGTTGAAACAGTATTTCCCTTTCGATCATGTCTCGAGCGTTCTTGCTTTTTTCTGACTTATCGTTGAGCAATTAAAAAGTCTCAAAATCTGCCAAGTCCAAACAAAATTATAATCGCGATGTACCAACAGATCAAATATGCATAATGAAGTAAGGAGGATGCTTACTCTGGCAGCTGGTGTCCAGCTCGAGGTCACTCTACCGCAGCGATCAATTCCCGCTGTCCTAGTGAATTCTTCTCTTCTTCTCCATTCCTCTCTCTCTCTCTTTCTCTCTCTCCTCACAATTTCATACATCTCAACAGAGCGTTCTTTCTATTACCATCCTAACCCAAAATACTAACGCCCATTCTCATCCTTCGACCTTATTTCCCTGTTAGGATTTCAACAGAATTGCTGAATTATCTTATTATTGAATTGAAGAGCAAATTTATACTGTTGATGAGGTTTTCTTCTTGAATCGATTTATAGTATCACTCGAAGCTTTTCTTTGTCGCCCAGCAGTCGTTTCATTAACGATTTTTCCTTCCATTTTTCATATTCTTCCTTTTTTTTTCTACTACTCCTTTTAAATCAGTTACAATTGAAAATTATGGTAACAACTGTTCAATCATGTCGATGAGTCAGAGCTGTCATCCAGACTCTTAAACTCCAGCCTGAAAACCGAAACTTTTTTAATACACTCTTCGATTTTTTCATAGGAATGTTGATTAAAGTAATTTCTTATGTTTTAGAACCCAGCACCTAATGTTGTAGTTCACTTAAGTGAATGTCACTTGAGTTGTTCAATAAGGTTAGTGATTTAGAACTTTTTTTAAATGATTGTACATAATTCACACCATTCTTTCAGAGATGGGATCATGTTTTTCTCGAAATCGAAGGGAGTCTGCTGGTGCTTCCGGAAACGGCTTGGAAACCATAAATGCTAACCAGTTTGTATCACCTACCACTTTATATATGGTAAAATGCTTTTCAATTAATCATTAAAAACGTTGTTTAAGGTGAACACTAGTGGCGAACAACACTTAGATCCATCTTCCCATGTCAGAAATGTAGCAGGTTTGAGGCTTATTCCAAATAGTTTCATCATAGCGGCTTTAAGGAACTTATCAAGACAAGGAGGTGCTTGTAGCTTTATATGCTTATGAATCTCGTGCTGATGGCGATCTGAGTTTCAAAAAAGGGGATTTTATGTATCTACTCGATCAAAGGTTTGTTTACCATTTTCCTTCGTTTTGTAAGCTATACTATGTCAAACCGATTCGTGTAAATTCAACTTTAGTTGTTTGTTTTGCGTAGTGTTGATAGAAGTTTCTGTGTGTATTTTTCGGTCTTCCAAGCTTTTTCTTCAGTAATTGCGATTGGTGGTATGTGAAACATCAACGTACGGGAGCCACTGGATATGTTCCAAGAAACTTTGTTGCCAAGCAGCAAACGATTGAAAGCGAAGAGTAAGTTCTCACTTATTTTTTCGAATGATTTAATTGCGTTCTTAACCGAAATTTGATATTTTCGAGTGTTTGTGTAAATACAATTAAGACGTAATTTAATCCATACGCGAATTTGAACTTGAACCTCAGAAGTCTCAATACCTCTGAGATGAGTTGAAACTTCTGGGTGTTTAAGTTCTTTGATTAACTTTTCCTCAATGGTGTTACTGATGATAAGTCTTGTGTCATCTTTTTGAACCCACCGAATGAGATAATGAACAATGACTTCAGATGGTATGCAGGTAAAATTCCGAGGAATAGAGCAGAACGCCTTGTTCTTGCTAACAATCTGCCAAAAGGTACTTTCCTTATTCGCGAAAGGGAGGCAGATGGAAGAGAGTTTGCTTTAACAATCAGAGATTCTGAAGATAATCGCAATGGTGAGGAATAAAACAGTTTCAAACTGTGATAGCTCACATTTCAGGTGGCACAGTTAAGCATTATAAAATTAAAAGGTTGGATCATGACCAAGGCTTCTTCATTACAACTCGAAGAACATTCAAAACTCTTCATGAACTTGTTGCATATTACTCAGGTATTTAGTTCAGAAAACATGGTTAGTGTTTTATCTTTTAAGAAATGGCTGATGGTCTTTGTTGCCAATTGACTTTCCCTGCCCCTCGTATTACACCTACTAGACCAGATTTGAGTCATGATACTCAACAAAATTGGGAAATTCCTCGAAATCAGTTAACTCTCAAAGATAAATTAGGGGATGGTAATTTTGGACAAGTTAGTTTGAATTTACATAAAGAAAAAGCTCAATACATCATATTAGGTTTGGTATGGTCGGTGGAGAGGCATCGTTGAGGTAGCAATTAAGACTATGAAACCAGGAACAATGTCTCCAGATGCTTTTCTTCAGTTCGTATCCTTATTCAGTAATATAATGATCTACAATTTTTCAGGGAAGCACAGATTATGAAGCAATGTGACCATCCTAACTTGGTGAAATTATACGCGGTTTGTACACGAGAAGAGCCTTTCTATATTATAACGGAATACATGTGTAACGGATCTCTGTTGCAATACTTGAGAAGTGATGGAAATAACTTGGCTATTCAAGCTTTAGTAGATATGGCTGCTCAGGTAGTCTTCTGTAACTAAATCGCGTACAAATTTTAATGTAGGTGGCCAATGGTATGATGTATTTGGAAGAAAGAAAACTTGTGCACCGTGATTTAGCGGCGAGAAATGTTCTAGTCGGTGATAAAATCAGTGGCGTTCCAGTTGTCAAGGTTTTTCAACCAGTTTTGAATTTTCTTAATTTTAAAGTGTAGGTCGCTGATTTCGGATTAGCTCGAAAGTTGATGGAGGAAGATATTTATGAGGCTAGAACTGGTGCGAAGTTTCCTATCAAGTGGACAGCTCCTGAAGCAGCTACATGTGGAAACTTCACGGTAAAGAGCGATGTTTGGTCGTACGGAATTTTGTTGTATGAAATTATGACAAAAGGACAAGTTCCATACCCAGGTAACACATCTTCAAAAAATAGAAATTAGTTCATATTATAGGAATGCAAAATCGAGAAGTTGTTGAACAAGTGGAGTTGGGATACAGAATGTCAATGCCTCGTCAATGTCCGGAACAGATATATAATGAGGTACTCTCGTACGCGTTTGAGCTTCTAGTAGTGTCTCCCAATTCAGGTCATGTTGAAATGTTGGGACAAGGTTCCTGAAAGACGCCCAACATTCGATCATCTGTTCCACTTCTTTGATGATTATTTCGTTTCATCACAACCAAACTACGTTCCTCCAAGTGTTTGAAGACCGCGGATAATATGTTGCTTCCATCCTTACCAGGTTGTTATATTAAAATATAAATTGCCCGCTAGTCTCACTTATCTGTTCTGCCACAACCCGTCTTTTAACTTATTATGTCCATTTGTACATAACTATTAATATTTATTGTTGAGTTCTTTGTCTTGTGAATAAAACTTTGCTCAAAGTATAATTCTTTGACGAAGTCTTTCTCAAACATATTGTTTTCCTTATTTTCTACGATTGTTTTTATCTAGAATGAGCTCAAATCATAACATATACTCTGATAAGAGTTCGAGTAAGCTAGCAAGCATTTTTTTGTATTAAATACTCGGGGTTAACAGCTCTTTATTGGTCAGAGAAAATTTTTTATTCTCCGATCGGTTCCGATAAGCAGTCAGTATTGTTTCTACTCCAGACCTCACATCCCATCAAATTTTCAGAATCATCTCACCAAAATTTGACCGCGGACGTGAAATATGTTCAACATTAGGGAATGAGTGCATAGCATAGCGTTCTCATTCTTGATTACTCTTAGTATCAGAACTATGAAACAACTTCAGGGTTCTTAACGGGTTGAGAATGTACTTTCTAGTGGAAGTGTGGAACTTTAGGATCAGCGGATGAGTTACATAAATCAATTCTTGTATTCGTTCAATCGTAATTTTCCAAATTTTGAAAACTTTTTCCAAAAAACCGTGTAATTCTTATTGCCTCAAGATGAACTGGAGGGAGCATCAATTATTTAAGCCGAAACAATCCTAATTCCTTATTCAGTCTCTCGATAGTTACAATTTTCTTTTCGAGTGATGAGCTCAGAAAAATAATCCGAATTGGAGAACTCTGAGCAGAGTTATGAACTTCTGTTTGTCCCATCAAAGAAATGAGCGAAGGTTAAATACAGGAATAAACTTGGTGGGACTGATTTTTAGCTATTATGATCATATGTATTGATGGGAAGTTCAAAATAGAGTAATAAGAATCTTTGCGAGCGTCAAAGATTCTTTGAGAACGTCAAAGCGTGCGATCTACGGC